GGGGGGGGGGAAGGAAGAGGACAGAATCAAGGAGAATGCAAGGTGAGGGTAATGAAGCGGGAAAAGCATGGCAACTCCTCCTTTCAACGCTTCATTCACACCTTGTATAACTGCAAGCCATTCGGCTTCATCTCATGCTAGAAGGTTAGACCGTTAACTACATTAACATCTCGTCCTTTCTAGAAAATTCATCAACCTCCATTTTTTATAAAACTGTTTTTGATCTCCCTTGTCATACACATTTTCTAGTTGTCCACCTCCTCTCTTTTGTTATTAGGAGCTTAGGATTCCATCAATTATGAAAAGCACTTTATCTAGATGAAAACTGGGCTGTGTTTGCTTATAATACAAACACCGAACTGGGGTATTTATATACCCTAGTTTGCGTTTGCAAGCGTAATGCACACATGTGCTCTTCTTATGTGTTTGACAAAAAATGTAAGGCATTTAATGATAGAACCCATGTTTTACACTGATTTTAAGCAAACAGAAAAAATACAAAAAACGGGTTACACTTTGCATTCATAAGCTGGAAAGAGATTATTTACGCAGAATACATATTAACATTTTCATCGCAACCAAACCAGCCTCAATGGGGGCTTAATAGACCTAGTGACCTACAATTGATTCCGGATTTGCTGCACTTGTTTGTCTTATTATTGTAAGAAAACTATCGTAGTCGGGACCTGTTGCAATTTTTTTCCTACACTTACTGTACAAGTGTCATTGGTACTCTGTTATAGATGTGTAGAGGCCCGTGCATGTGAAAACAACTAAATTTTAGGCTATGTTTGGTTTGAAGGAAAAAGTTGGAAAGGGAAAGGAAATGTAAGGAAACCTTTACAAATCTTGTATAGGTTTCTTTACCTTTTCCTACTTTTCCTGGCCTTAAGTCTTGGCCAACTTTCAGTGTCAGTCTGTCACACAGATTGCTTAATACATTAAGTGCAGGAAAAAAAGTGCAGCAGTCCTGACCAGTAAAATTTAATAAAAAAAAGGAGGTTGATGCACAATCTGCATGTTGACTTGCGACAATGCAGACTAGACTTGTTCATGGGCCAGGCTAGGCCAGGCTGGGCTTTTACTCTTCATAAACATGATTTTGTTAGGCCCGAGCCCGAGCCCGACCCAACCAATGGGCCTAAGCCCGATCCTAATAAAAAGCCCAAAGCCTGACCTAACAGAAGAAAGAATTCACCGCCGGTGACTGTGTTCACCGGTGCTGAGTTCGCGTCTGTGTGTGTGTGTGTGTGAGAGAGAGAGAGAGAGAAGACTCACCGCCCGTTTGCCAGAGTTGTTGCGCCGGTGAATGTTCGCCAATTTTACAGTTGCTTGAGAGTGTGAGGAGGATGTGAAGAGAAGAGAGATTAGACTAACAAGAAATGTGGAAAGAGATGAATGAAAAGAGTTAGGATATTAGGGTTTTTAGGTTTAGTCTATAGGTCGGGTCGGGCCGGGCCAGGCTATTTTGGCAAATCCCAAGCCCAGCTCGAATTTATTGCAGGCCGGGCTTTTTGGCCCGAGGTCAAGCCCGCAGGCTCATTTGCGTGTTCAAGCCCGTCTGGGGGGCGGGCCGGTCCATCGGGCCACCCGGCCCATGAACAGGTCTAATGCAGACCCTCAAGACGAACTCGGCTTCAGTTCAAACGGAGTCCGTGTTCTGTGCACCCACGGGTGCATTGGACAAGTGCACCCACGAGCCACGAATCACGTTGAACACGTTGACCAGGGGAAACAAGTATAACGTTAATGGTCAAAGGCCTGTTCACATGGATTCGGCGATTCAACCGAACACACACAGCCACAAAATGACAAAAGGTTAATGAAGAGGAAGCCCTGGTCGCATTTTGCATTTCGCCTGTATGCTTTTCCTCCCTCCACTGAACCAGCAGCCATCAATGGCAATGAAGAGAGCTCCGGCGGTATGTTTCTGGCCTCTTCTTCTTCTTCTTGCAAGGGGCTTTTTGTGTCAACAGAAACCACCCACCTGAACAACCACCAGCGGAAACCGCAACCACCTACTTGGACAACCACGGCAGGAACAGCAGCCACCCGTCTAGACAACCACCAGCAGGAAAATTGTGGCCGGTTTGTGTTCGGTTGAACCGCCAAACCCATGTTAATGGGCCTTTGACCGTTAATGCTATGCTTGTTTCCCCTGATTGACGTGTTCGAACGTGATTCGTGGGTGCACTCATCCGGTGCACAGAACACGGACTCGTTCGAACGGGCCTTGCGCCGACTGAGTAGCACACTCTGCTTCACCTTCATCCTCGTAATTCTTCAACAATAAATACAGCCACCATCTGTGTATTAAGATGTGTGCCTGCTTTAAAGAGTAGACCAGAGTATTACTTTGGTTAAAGAAACGCAACAAAGAATAATTCATTAGTCATGGTTGAAGGAAGCAAACCTCCAACACCCAACCCCTAAAAAATCAGGGAAGAATAAAGGCAAAAACATGTCTTTGACACTTTGTAAGGATAAAAAAAATGAGTATCCTCTAATGTAAACCTTTGTTGGACATAGGTCAAGTTTGAGCTGTCTATCGAATTTCCTTACTCAAGCTATAGAAGCAAGAGGCAGAGCCAGAGTAAGAGTAGCAGCAACGACCTTATTACATAACCTCTCTTCCCAAATATAAAATCATGTTGAAACCTGTCTTTAAATGAGAGGCATACACATCAGAGTGAAAAGTCTGCTATCAATTTAAAAAGTGGAAGAACGCCTTGTTGAGGCAGAATAGCAGTTCCCCGAGATCATTGAGCCTGTCACTTTTCATTCTTCAGGTGTATCCGAACGAATAGCTAATAAACAAATTAGGGAAAGAGTTAATTAAGGAAAAACAGAAAAAAAAAATTCTAACAGGAAAATAGATACCAGTCACTAAGATCAAAAGAACAAAGCTAGGCATAAATAAAAGCAAAAATGGCACAGAATCTGGTAAATAGTAGAGTATTATTTTGCCTACATTGTCTCAGAAACAGCAACATTCATGTTGATTAATCCAACCTAAGAGATCTCTTAAACTGAAAATAAGCCTAATCAGCTAATGCACAACATCTAGTAGAATTCAATCAGATAAAAGTTTGGTGATATGAGATTCCCTACTAAGTGGGGTCCATATTGTGAGGGCTGGTCTACATCTTTTGTTTGCAAAATCCTGTAGTTGTTTGAGTTCGAGTTTCTACCTTGTTTACAATATTTAATTGATATAGAACCTATTTTGAAGAACAGAGATTAAAAAATTACTAAATTGTTGGCTTCAAATCAGGGTTTAGGTACTCTCTATTTTTAGAGAGAGATACTGTAGCTAAACAAGACACTGATTCAGTGTTTGCTGAATCAGTTGATAAATTCTCTGGCTAGTCATCGAAGAGACTTGGGATTAGATCCTGTTGCCACCAGGGTTGGGGATAGGGGTGCTCAACAAAAACCAAAAAACCAAACCGAAAATTCCAGTTAACTGAACCAGTTGGTGTTATCGGCATCTCAGCAGGTCTGATGGTTCTAGGGAAAACCGAGGAACCAGTGAAAAGCTGAACCAATCAACTGGTTAACCGATTGGTTTTGGTCCGGTTTCATTTCATGGTTTTTCAAAAACCGGCATTACCAGTTCGGTTTCAAAAAAACAATAGCCCACGGCTTGGTACCAAACTGTGAGCACCCCTAGTTGGGAGAAGCCCCATGGAACAAATTAAAAGATCCATTGTTTGCTAATAAATAACAGTCAGAAGAAGTGCATTATCTCCAGGAGGCTAGATTTTTGGCTACTAACATGAACATCTCTTCAATTGGGTCCCAAGATCAATAATCCATTGGCTGATAACCCTGGCTAGAGCTGGAGTGGGCAGATTATGGTTGTAGGGCCCAACAATTCCTCAGAAGGGCTTGACATAGATACATGCCACATAATAGGAAGGATCTGAAATAAAGCTCCAAGAAGTCCTAATTTCCATCTGAGAAAACCTATCTGCTATGTCTTAGCAGACCAAACAACATGTGGCAAGTATATTACAGAAAAGTGTATGCTACGTAATAGGAAGAGATCTCAAAAAAATTCCTACTCATAACTCCATCCTAACAAACCTATCTCCTATGTATTAGCAGGCCTTGGGAACCAGTTGAATGAGATATTCGTTGTAGATGGCAAAGATCTAGCCTCTCGTAAGATTCATGGATTAGTCCTTGTCTGTCACATCCATCTGATAATAAGTTAATAACAACCTGAGACTAAGAGCCACCACCAACAACCTTCAGCTTATCCACAATCCACACCTAAGGAGGGCATCTATTCAAGGTCCTAATGCAATGCCCAAATTTCTGGTCTAATCAAGGAGCCTGGGCCATTAAGGAAGAAAACAACAAGAGAACCTCTCTCATCGTGAGCCCCAGAACACCTCAAAATCCCACGGCCCATGACTTACTAGATATAAAAATTGAATTTGAATACCACTCCCTAAAAGAATTGTGGGGGAGGGGCCAAATGCACAGGATGTTTTATTAATGACATGAGGTTCTTGCTACCATACTCCATCAAACAATTTCAGAAATTGAGACTCTCTAGTGCTAATCCACTAGGCAACTGAAAGTGATCGTGTCAATTAGAACTTCCAGAACAGTGAATCTTCTTAGAGAAGTTTCTATTGTTTCACTCTTCCCAAATGCTTCAAAGTACCATTGGCATTGCTTAAGACCTTTTAGTAGACCACTTTACAATCTTCCCTTTCCTAGTCCTAGTAGGCAGGAAGAGAAAGATGACCTCAAATAAGGATGGGACCATGGAAGGGATTCTTATTGGTATGGGCTCCAAAATAGTGGCAAAAAAATCCCACAAGTTGGTGGCATCATATTGAAGAGGTGATGAATAGTCTCATCACTAGCCTTGCATAAGATGCCAACCCTAATTTTATATGGATAGAGGCTGAAATCATGTAACTTAAGCATATTTTCCTTGTTGTCTAACATCACATTTTATCAACTGGGGCTTCAATATTCCTAAAAATCCATCACAGAGACTTTCTAGCTCATCACTGCCCTACATCAAACGCATTCCCCTTAAAAAAGTTATAGGTTAACCAAAAAGAAATGTAAGTGATTGAAGTTGTATTTAGAGTAGAAATAAGCATGATTACCCCAATCAACAAAGATTTATTCCATGTCTTATAAGGACAAATAACATATAGCTACTTATGATCAGAAGCAATCCAGGAATGGCAAAAAACGGCCGAAGAAAATCATCCCAACAGGATTTCCGGCAAAGGTATTCTTTGGCGGCGAATGCCATGTGTTTCCACTCTCTGCCGAGCAGAAACAACTGCACTGACATTGTGAATGAGAAATGGATCTCTGGAGGAAAGAAAAGGGAACGATTGATCCGAAATGAAGTTTCCATAAATGAATTTGGTTTTGTAATATTATCCCCGAAATATTTCCACATTAAGGCCATTAAGACCATTGAGATCCTAAACACTGGAACAGACTTTTCATAACAGAATCCACCGAAAGATCAAGGGAACCAGAATCTCCAGTTCCATCTCATCTAATTCGATACTTCCAAATGGACCATTCAATTCTGTAATCGCAAAGTTTTATGCAAGAATAACCTTTGCGGGATTTCAGATTAAGCAAAATGCAAGAACGGATCAGAAACAACAATCCAGAGTTACTTCACTATTAAAAAGATGTCAATCATCCATAGAATCACCAATTTAGATAATATTATTCATTGAAAACTGAGAAAACAAAACGAGCCAAGAAGGAGGGAAGCATACTGGGTTTCTGAGGTTTGCCGTCGGTCCATTTGGACACAGCGAAATGGACCTTCTCACGAGTTAGGGCTTCGGTTTTGTAAGGCTCCTTGAGGCAATTCCGCACCAAAGAGGCGCAGATGTTGGAGTATGTAATGTACGTCATACCAGCTGCCCTCCAGAATGGCACTGCCGCGCTTGAACTTGCCGCTGACGCCATCGAAAATCGAAATATCGAACCCTATTCTCCTAATCTCCTCTCCTCTCTTTGCCAATTGATAACTGGTTTTGTATTTCTGGATGCCGATCAATGCCAATGCCCAACGGTAGTTAAAACGGGTTCAAAGCAGATAATCGGTCCAGATCGTTTCATCCGACTCCGAGACCCAGTATCCCTTCCCTTAAAGGATGGATTCGAGCCGAGCCGAGCCGAATACTTGACTATTCGATCTCGGCTCGCTGAAACTGTATTATTCTCGAGTTCAATTCGAATTAGAGATTTAAAGCTCGCAAGTCAAGTTTTTTTTTTAAATAAAAATTATATATATAAAAGTATTTTTTTATTTTATATATAAAAATTTAAAAATTACAAAAATTATTTACTATTATACATAAAAATAGAAATATTATATATATAAAACAAAAATTATTATATATATATATTTATATGTATATATGTATATAATAAAAAAATATTTATTTATTATATTAGGTTTGTGAATCTCACAAACCGAACTTCACTAAGTTCAAGCTCGACTCGATTAACAAATGAGTGTATATATCAGGTTCGAGCTCGAATAGATCAACCCAAGCTTTTTACAAATCGAACTTGAATAGCTCATAAAAAACTCGACTCAACCCTCACTTGGCAGCTGACAGATCAGTCCTGCATGGTCCAAATATTGGCCCACTGGTGGACAGTTATGTTGTCAACACATGGGTACATGCCCTACTTAGGCCCGTTTTTAGAATGGCCTAAAGCCTAATCTCGGCCCACTGAAATTGATATTAGATCTGAGACCGGGCTTTGTCAGAAATCATAAAGGATGGAGCTATGTTTGCTGCGAGACCGGATCTGTTCCTCACACGCACATCCTATCATGTATCGAAAACATCTCCCATACTTATTAGTTGTTATTCACGGGAACTATTTCCATTGCACGGTGGATGTAAATGTGAGGCGCCCATTTGTGAGGAGCAGATCCCGTCTCGTCTGCTGCAACTTATATCCCAGGCTCCGAACCTGCTGCCTGGACATAGAGTTGTCAATGGGTCGAATCTGATCCGGGATAGGATAGAGTCACTCTCTTCTCTCTATCGACAATCTAGAACTTCATTTTTGATAAATATAAAAATGAAATTATATGTTGATAAAACTAAAATTATATTGTATGAAAGTTTACCCTTTTAGTGGTTCAGATTTTAATCAGTTTGGAATAAAAAACTGGTCCCGACTCCCGACCCAAGTATAACCACCACTCAGACCAGAACGATATAATCATCTCGAATTCTAAATGAAAGCACATACATTCATTAAGGTAGTGATTAATTTCTAAGAAAATTATTGATGAAACTGGGAAAGTCCTCAATGGATTTCATAGAATGCTTTTAAGAACGTTTCCACAAGTTTCCAAATTTCAAAAATTGTATTGGAAACAGTATATGAATGATAACAATAATGATATGCTGCAATTATGGAAAATGTTTTCACTACCATAAATTAATGAGAATCATGGAACTAGGAGAATCTAGAATATGAGTCACCAATTGAAGGTTCAATTACTCTCCATGAATTTTGATTAAAAGATTGATTATCATTTTTATCATACTGGTATCATACATTTCCCGTATCATTGTCAAATCCTACAGTTGATTCATTTAGGTTGTGTTTGGTTTAAAGAAAAAGATAAAGAAAATAAGGGGAAGGTAGGATAATCTATACAAACCTTGTATGGATTCCTTATCTTTCCCTACTTTTTTTCTTCAAACCAAACACGACCTTATGCGACAGTTGGACACAAATTAACTTGGAATTAATTAGTTTATTTCGTTTAATATCCTGCTAGTTTCCTCTGCTGATATGATTGGTAGAAATGCTAGTTCCTCGGATTTAGAGAGTGATAATTTTAATATCATTGAATTTTCGACCATTCTGTTATGATATATTTGAAAATCAAGAAATGACTTTATCTTCAATGATGCCCCCCTAATCCTAATGCCTCTATCATATTTGCTAATAAGATGATGAAGAAAGTGAAAGACTGTTCTTGTCTCCTCCAAGGTTCATATTCAAGATGATTCTTTAAAAAGTGATTTGGTTAAGGATTTTAGTCTTTTCAATGCCAATCAGTCGTAAGGTGTATTTTGTTGTTTGTCTTTTGGTTTAGATTTTACTCTTTTTCTTCCCTTTCGTCACTGTTAGCTCTTGTTTTCCTGTTGTTCCTTTGCATTTTTTTTTTGTTTGGTGAATGAATTATCTTTTCTACCCCTCCCAAAAAAAAAAAAAAAATCCCGCTCGCATCAAGATTGGGGGTTTATGAGTTTAGGGAATGGGCTAAGCCCATTGATTGTGTGTAACCCTGCCATGGGTTTAGGGGTCTGTGTTTTGAAGTTTAAACGAAATGCATACATTAATTAGGTCCATAATCCAGGGCGGCCACAGTAAGCAAATACTTTTTCAATATGTTTGGTGAAGTTGGTCCAATCAAAAAGAAGAAAAATGGAAGACGAACCAAACAAGAGACAAGAAGAAAAGTCATTTTGAGATTCTCCCCAAAAAAAAAATAAAAATCACTTATTTTACCATCACATTCCCAACCACATCCTTGAGTCCTTGACTGAAAAAAAGAGAGAGAAAAATAAACAAACGACTGTTACAAGTAGAACTGTAGATGACTGAAACTCGTTTGTCTCAGCTGAGAAAGTTAGTCCACCTTTTTTTTTTATCAAAAGAGAGAGATCTTCGTTAACTGATCGTAGAAATAATTACATGAGAAGATCGTCTAGAGTCGTGTCTAATACGTAGCTGTCCCATGCAAATAAGCAAAAAGGTGGGGGCAGTCTGATTGTATTGTGTATTAGTATGTATAAAGTTTATAAGCAAGAAATCAGACCTAGCCTGCCTTAAACTGCAGCGATGTAGTTCATCCACCCAAGCTAGCCCACCTTACAGCTTACGGTGAGTCATGAGTGTACTCCATTTGCAAGTGTTTCTCGGTAATACATGTGAATTGGTCAATACTGTTATTGGTTCAGTCAAAATTTTGGGCCGGTCCGTACTTTTTCATAATATATTATAAAATATTGATAAAATAATTAAAATTTTCCAATTTTTTTTTCGAAAAAAAAGAAATTCCCGAAATTTAAAACTTTGGTTTGAATAGATTACTTGAACATCAAGTGTTTGAGGTCAAAACCTAAAGCTGGCACTGGCAATAAACTAGCCCTACAAAATGCATTGGGTTTGACCAATTGATCCGAATGGTTATTGGTTAGATTAATATAATCTCCGCTTTCCAGTAGGTTATGTTTGTTTGAAATGCAAATCTCAACCGGATATAAATTTTGTATCTAGACCATGATTTGCATTCTTATATGATATAAAATTCTCATTTGCATTTCAAAATTAGCAATGCAAATTTTGTATTTTAAAAATTGATGTAAATTTTACACTACTTCCTCCTACCTTAATTGAGTTAATTCTTGGGGGATCACACATCATTTTACGTACTACCTTACTCCCACCAGATAAATAACCATCATCCTGCCTCGTTTCTCTTTCATATATATAAATTGGGGATTATATGCACCATTTTACTAACTATTTATTTCAAAAAATAAAAAACAAAACAAGGTCAAATCTAAGCAAAAAAGTAAACCTTAATTTACACTCAGTTCAATGACACTCCTAGGCATTTTGCACCGGTGCAAATGATATTCATACTGCAACCAAACGGAGCCTAATTTCTATCTCCCGATCGATGTGCATGCATTTCCTTTCCACAAACCGAGCATGAGAGGATATAATCGTACCCATCATCTCTCTCAAACCCAACTGGTTCACATGGATTCTTTATTTTGGCAAGGGAACAAATTAAGACCTCTATTCCTGACTTTATATTATCCAACTCATTCCACCATAAAGTAGTCAAGGCTTCGGCATCTTCTCCTTTTATATCTGTAAATCACTGCTTTCCAAATTGAAACTGGACTCCATTCACTGTCATATTTCCGGCCCGTACGTTTAATGAGTTGTCATTCTTTGATGAATGATGATCAAACCATCAACCCCCCGAGTATGAAGCTCCGTCGGTGGTTCGTCGATCGATCGCATGAATCAGAGAAGACAATGAATCAGAGAAGACAATCAAAACTCCCACATGTTTTAATTTTCAAGGGGCAGAGACTTGGTCAAATAAGACCCATCCATAGCAGACTATATTATATAAATTAAATACAAAACCATGCAATAACCCCACGTCGACCCAACTTCATAGTCATTATAAGTAGCACCTTCATTCGTAAGCTTTGGCACTTTAAATCCATTAATAGTATACAACGTACATGGCTAGAGTGATCGATATCGTTTTCCTTCTTCTCTCTGCGATGCTCAGCTCTACGTGCTTCTTGGCAACAGATGCCCGGCCGTTCCATATTCTGAGGTCAGGTTCGGGTAGTACTTTTGAGGGCCACTTCACAAATGGGTTGTATCTGATGGCGGTCAAGAATTCAGGCCCTAGCCCCGGCGGCGGAGGCCACAAATTCGAGAATGCTCAGCCTCAAACTCTACTTGGACGGATTAAGGACTCTAGTCCTAGAGCAAACTCTTTCATCACAAATGCGAAAACTCTCGGAGGAATTAAAGTGTCTGGTCCTAGCAGCCCTGGCGGTGTCGGCCGGTCACAGCTTCTTCATCACGAACGAACAACCTCCGGGAGGAATTAACGTCGTCTCTGGTCCTAGTAGTCCTGGCACTGGTAATTACATGTTCGCCTACTCTCAAACAACCCTTGGAGGCGTTAAGGATGCTGGTGGAGGTCACACAGCTTCACGAGTGCACAAACTCTTGGAGGAATATAATTAAAGTTTCTGCTGCGCTGGTCCTAATAGCCGGCCCCCTGCAGGGCCCTGGCTAATAGCGAGCTCTGGCTAGATCTGCTAACAACTTAATTACGCCAACTATCAAACCTTTTGAGGCATTAACTAGCATGCATCGATCAGAAAGGCGTGAAGTCATGCATGGAAATTAACGTTAACCTAACCAAATATTTGTGATGATTTCTTTTCATTTGAACATTAATTAATTGCTGTGGTA